AGCCGCGCACGCGGTGGGCAGGCGGCGCAGCCCTGGGCTGATCCGAAGCCTCGCGCCTTCTTTTAGACCTCACTGGATTTGTAACTTCATTTCGGTAGGGGTCGGGCGGTGGGTGCTGCTCCTGTGACGCCCTAAGCTGACGGCTTAGTGCTCTGTCCCTTCTGCTTCCTTGGCCGTTCCTACCTTTTCGTGTCACCCCCTTGTGCTAGCGCTGGTGTCTTCTTATACACCTGTGAGCTAACCAGGGGCATGCTGTGGTTGGGTTTTTTTGGTTTTTTTTTTTCCTCCTGTAGGGTTAGTTTTTAGTTGGCTCATCTGGCTCAATTGAGATGAATTCAGAAGAGGGGACAGAATCAGAATAATTAGCTTAAATTTATACTGAACATACCTCCAAGCTCAAATATTATGTGTGATATTCTTAGTGTAACAAACTTAAATTTTTCTTTCTAGGCAAACACAGGAAACATCCTGGAGGGCGTGGTAATGCTGGTGGTATGCACCATCACAGGATTAACTTTGATAAATAGTAAGCTAACATTTTAAATATATATACTAGCAAAACCTGTGTTCCTGAAGTAGAAACAACTAACTTTTACGTGCGAATAAACAAAATTCCCTGCAATCCTATGTGTTTTTTCCTCTAACGTGAGATGTGACATTATAGCTGCAGTCAACTCACATCCCCATTTGCCCCAAAATCAAAGGCCCTTTCGCTTAAACTAGGCGCCTATAAGGGTTCAGGGCAGCATTTGGTAACCTTGACCAAACTTGCCTGCTAGACTGTGGTCCCCGCTTAATGATGCGCACACAAAATGTTATGTAAATTCAAAATATGATGTTAAATCTAAACTGCGTCCCATTTAGCGGCATACTGTAAAGGTAAGGGATGTTGTCTTTACTTATTGCTGAGACTAGAGTCACATCTGGACGCTGCCTGTTGTCCTGGTGTGCTAGAGTACTCGGACAGTAACCACTAATCTATATTCACTGGCTGTGACCGTTCTTGACTCAGTCAGTCACCAGGTTAGTGACAGGAGCGCTGGAACTCCTCAGGCAGTGCAGCCCTCCATGGATTCACGGAGTCGGGGTTGCCCCAGACATGTGGGGCCGGACCGGACTCGCCAACAAGGGTGATTGAGTTGTGAGTTCAAACAGTTCAAGAGAAAATAATTTTCCCTTGGCTTGGGTACTAATGATCATTGCACTTAAATACTACATGTATTAATATCAGTAAAAGTACAATGTGACATCTTGATCAAGTAAGATGCTTATTTCAGTGTTAATTTGTAGTCCTACCTGTTCAGGTTGAATTAAAAATGTGATCTGATGAGGAATGTGTTTCTTTCATAGTCACCCTGGTTACTTTGGAAAAGTAGGCATGAGACACTATCACTTGAAGAGAAACCAAAAGTTCTGTCCTACTGTCAATTTGGACAAACTGTGGACGCTTGTCAGTGAACAGACGAGGCTCAATTATGCAAAAAAAGAGGCTGGACTGGCCCCGGTCATTGATGTTGTGCGCTCGGTAAGTTTCTGCTTGTACTCAAACCTGCCATTCCTGGTCACTTCATGTGTAACTCAGCTTTGCGTATCCAAGTAGGAAAATAGTGAACTGCAGATATGCTGCAGTGCTTGGATTATTTGTGAACTTCTCAGGACAAATGTCTTGGCATATAACTAGTTACGCAGGTACTTATGCTGTTATGTTTTTTTCCTATAAGAACTTTTTCTCATACTTCTGTGTGATTGTGGACAGGGACTTCCCATATTTTTGGAAATACTGTATATTTGGGAATATCTTTGGTGAAAGATTACTTATTTAAAATGTTTCTGAAAGCTTGTATAAAACCATGGCAGAACTAGTCTCATTTATGTAAAGTCACTTCTCTGATATCGAGACTAGAGTCACATCTTCACATGTTTGATTGTCTTGGTGTGCTATAGTTCTCGGACATAAACATCTGATCCCTATTCGCTGGCTGCGATGTCTGCTATCTCAGCCAGCCACCGAATCAGTGACACTAACTAGTCTGCCAGGTGGGTGCGTTCTGTCTCCCAAATAAAGGTGCCCATGTTGGCCAGTTACATCAGACATCAGTGGCTGTAGTGTTAAATGGACCTTGTGCCATGATTGTCCTTTTAATGTAAAGGACAGGAATTAAATGAGAGGATTCCAGTGGCAGAGAACAACTATTGCTGCGCAAGCTTGCAAAGGCTTCCGTTGTAATGTTTAAGATGTGCAGAAGAATCCTCTGCTCTGTTCAAAAGTACCAGGGTGTCCTACAGGTGAGAGCGACCACCAGAAGTCATTGGCTAGTAGGTAGTCTTGGAAGTGGAGCCAGCTGCTCTCCCCTTCAGAAAAGTGGGGAAAGATTGGTGACTACCCGATTTCACAGTGTTTTCTATATATGGAGTATGGGGGGAAAAAAAAATCCAGCTTCTATATTTCAGCAAAAGTTCAGTTTACAGATTGTACTTCTTCTCTGAATGAATGCAACTCCACTAGGTCATGCAGGGTATTTTTTCTTTCTTTCATACCAATTTTATATTGGAGACAGACAATGAATGGTGATCATGGTTTTGGTTTTAACTGGTGCGTGCTAAAAGACAGGTCTGAATGTAGGAGCCTGCAAGCTGATTACAAACAACTGTTTTTTTGATCTTTCTAGGGCTACTACAAAGTCCTGGGCAAGGGGAAGCTGCCTAAGCAGCCTGTAATTGTGAAAGCAAAGTTCTTCAGTAGAAGAGCAGAGGAGAAGATCAAAGAAGTCGGAGGTGCCTGTGTGCTTGTGGCATAAAAGCCTTTGTTTTATTCAAATTTTTTGAATAAAGACAATGTGTAAAATGTGCTGATTTACAAAAGTTTCTGATACTTTTTTTTTCCCCCCTGACTTGTCCAGACACTGTTCACACTTGAATCTTGTCTGCTTGGTTATTTCTGGCAGTTTCTGATGAGTGGTTTGATTGCTGCTCACTGTCTTTTGAAATTGCCTGGCTGTGGCGTCCAACACTTGGCATGTACAAATACCTCATCGCTTTGGCTTGATGGGGTAGCAAAACAGATCGGTGGTTCTTGTATTTGTGCAGCTCTTTCAGTTGGTGATCCTCGTTACAGCTCTCTGGGAAAAGGTGGCTTTGTGGTTTGTTGACGGGGATTTTTGTACACTGAAATGACATCGAGGTGAAATCTGTGGGGGTACTGCCTTGGCCTTTGGGGATGAAACATAAGGGAGCGGACAAAGAAATGCAATGGAACAACGCAAAGTGAGTAGTAGTAGCATACCAAAAATTGCGTGAAAGGCTTAGTGTGGGAAATTGCTATCAAGCAGCTGTGTGATCAATAGGCTGCTTTTTGGGATAGCGAAACAGTTCCAGTCCTGTTTCCTCTAAGGTGGGGTGTAGGAGGGAATGAAGGGGTGGGGGGGAATAGTGTGGGACGGTAGGGAAGAAGAGCTGAATTAGGTGGGAAGAAACAGTTCAAGGTTTTACCTCGTTATCACCAGACCTGCATCACGAGAAGCACCGCAGGCAGGTTTCTGTGGCCGCTGAAGGCCTGATGAGTACGTGGCTTCCTTGCAGGTGATGCCAGCTTTTGAGCAGAACAGGGCTGTGTGACGTGCCTCTGCAGCTGATGGCGGCTGTGCCTCCAACAAAAAGCGATCAATGTTTCTTTTCTCTATTGTCACTATGCACAGAGGTAAGATGTATTTTAAATTTAGTTCAACAATGTGGTCAAATTCTTTCTTTTCTGTGGTGGTAATGAAAGCTCTATTTAATTATGACTTGCATTTGTCCCTCTGGTGCTTCAGCTGCTGCTAAAGGGATGACAGCCATCTGGCTTCTGATTGCTGCCAACACACAAAGCGCAGGCCACTTTGATCCACATGCTTTTTAGAACCTGCTGGTGTCCTACTCCAAGAACCAGCTGAGGTGTTTGCATCCTGTATTTGTCAGAGCATGAGGCTCACGGTCATCTACCGTGCAAGTTGCCTCTTTGCTGCTGGTGTAGTGCTACATCTGTGCAATCTCTTGGCTAGACCACAGCTTGCAAACGCATTGGGTCTCTTTGAGATTAGGCTGGCTTCCTCCACCGCAGGATGAAATTGCATCTCTGTGTAGTAATTCTGAATTTCACTAAAGCATAGCAATTGTAGCAGTGGCACCGTGACCTTTTGGCAGTTGGGGCAGACAAGCTGGACACATTGAGTTAGGCTAGAAGCTTTTGAAGCCTCTTGTCAGTGTTACTGGACAGGCAGATGGCAATGCCCAGTGGGTGTGCTTTTGGGTACCTTACTGTGGTTATGAACCCTTAAACTGTTGCTTAATAACTGAACTATTGCAATAACTGTTCATTAACACTTGCAATCCGTAGCCTCCTCAAGTAGGGTACGCAATTCCCAAAGTTACCATGTATGGGACAGAAATGGTGCCAGCTATGGCTTCAACCTTCTATACAGCTAATATAAAGCAATGGCACAGCTCTAAAACTGCACTGTATGGATTTCTGACCTATGTGGCTTGAAATGACTGCATAAAATGTTGCTTCCGTAGTTGTAACGTCAGAGTAGGGCTTCAGTTGCCAATGCAAGGCTTGACCCTGTATGCCAAAGCAGAATCTGTATCTAATGGTAAAAATCAAACAATTACTTCAAGCTGGTGAGATAGCTCTTGTTTTAAGTGTCAGACCAGAAGCATATAGATGCTGTCACCTTTTTTTTTATGCTCTCTGCTAAAAGTCTTGAATTATTGCTAATAGTTGCAAATTACCTTCTAGTACGTGTGATACGATCTGTGATATGATCCTAGTCAATGAACTCCTAACCTGGTGTTTGGCAATAATTAAATTTGGAGGGCTTTTAGGGTAAAGCTGACATGCATTGCTGTGATAAAGTAGCTCATCTTAGCCAGTGGTACTGCTAGTTGTGAAGAACTGTAACTCAGACGGACAGTTTGTAAAATACTGAGGTAAAAGTATATAAGCTTTATCTCATTGACTGCTGGGACCACTGCTTGCTAGTATGTGATGCTATTTATCCACCTGCCAAAGCTAGCCCGTTTCAATCTTCAAAGGTAAGTTGCACGGTACTGCAAAACAAGGCACGGTGTTACTCCCTCATGTCAGTAACCTGATTGCTGACCAGATCATTAAGACAACAAAAGGCTCTATTTGCACTGAAGTACCCCCTGCACACATGACACTAGGTGAGTGACGCTAGCTCACTGGCATACATGGTGGACACCACTCTCTCACCTTGCTATTTAATATCTTAATGTATTATGTCTTAAGTAATTCCGTATTTTGTAGTCTTACTTTTGAGTACAAGAAGGTCTTTGTGAGAGGTGTGCAGGCTCCACCAGCTCTCATCTCTGCTCCACTGAAGGCCAGCTTGGGTATTTTGTGGGGGGGTTGGGGGTTTTTTGCATTGTCCATAACGCACCTACGCGAGGCTGGGGCAAGGCTTTTCCTGCCTTGGCGGCTGCCTGTG